TGTCTCTTTTAATTATTTAATTAAAGGAGCATTTTTCCATAGAATGAACTTTTTTTTTCAATATATCATTTTCGAATAATATATTGAAAATTACAGAACAAGAAATATCCTTCATGTTGAATTTTACGGAAAGTACTGCAGTTAGAGTATCAACATTCAATATTGATTTCTCGCTTGTACAAAAATGTGAAATACCAAATATGAAAGTACTGAAAACGGCGAGAATTCCACCAATCTAGCAACAGTAATTGCATCTTTCTGAACTGTACCGTCAGAAGATGCGTAACATTTCGGCATGGCGTTTCTGAATACGAAGATTAATATATTAGTTTTAAAGTATCGAAAAGGAGGACAGGTAGGAGGACACTTTTCGAGGGACAGAATCTTCAAACAGAGGACTGTCCTCCCTAAAGGATGAATATTGGTCACCTTAATATTTAATGAAATTAAAGCCAAGGAACGTGCTAACTTACGTAAGTAAGATATGCATGAGTTGTGCTGCAAGTCCGCTGTTGGGATCAAATGGGACTGCTGCTGCCTCACAGATCATCCGCAAAAGGCATTGATGGCTGTCGACACTGGCACTTAAACTGCAAAAACAAAACCCCGAAGATACAGTTGTGATAATTACTGAATGATGCATACGTTCACATCAAATCTTATATGAATTAAGGAAGCGTGACCCAATAGTTCAACTCATAGTTTCTAAAATAAAAGTACCGAAAAAAGAACCATGATACCATGCAAATCCATGATACTGTAACAAGGAAACTTGTTACACTATCATGGATCTGGTATACTCCAACGGATATTTTTTTCGATCCTCTAGGATTTTGATAGAAAACTAAATGAACGACACTTCATATTGTTTAAATTCACAATTTAAGGGATATTCACAGTTCAAAAATTAGCAGTTCATATTTCCCCCCGTTTTCTATTATTTTATTTTTGTCAACGAATCCTTTTATCAAATTTATGAACATAATATCGCATCATAAACGTGCGAAAATTATACCACACAACTTGCACGAAGGTTACTTAATACATCTTGTTCCAACTTTTGTTCTACAAACTGAATACTCAAGTTGCAATACTGCATGAAACTGCATGCATTACTGTATTAAGAATCTCGAAATAATAAACATTCGGCAAGTACTGTATACGAATATAACACCATTTTATGGTTTCTATATTAAAATTGTTATCTCTAAATTATATATTTTCTTTTTAATTTAAAATACTTAGTGACTATTGTTCTTGAAAATAAATAATATATAATATTTGTTATAAAATTTTCGGGCATAGAAAATGCTTTAAATACACTTAAATTATGCTAGTCAACGTACCTACTTAATATTTCTTCTAGCCCCTCATATACTTTCCAACGCACAGGAATGTTCCGTTGCTGTTTTCCCAAGGAATCGAAGTATGGTTGGAGCAACTCGGTTGCGTTTTGGGGTACATTGTAGTTATACTTCATAACCACTCCCATCGTTACTGAGTGTCGTTCAAGTGGAATTGGAATACCGACACCAGTAATTAGCTAAGAAATAAAGAATATAGAAACATTAGTAAAGTAGAAGAACAAGACGTTAAATATCCGCTGTTCTCATTTTCTTTAGTGATTGAGAAGAGTATATTAAAGTAGGTTTGCCTGATGCTATCGGTTAGAATGCGTGATTTTGTAGGTAATTAACATTTTCTATTGCATGATTGAACTTTGAACATTTTTACGTATAATTAGTATCTGTAACTAAAGTATTATCTTAAATGCAAGAGTTTTTCTCTAAACAGTTTTCAAGAAAGTAGAAAAATCTTTGAAAATTAATACTTAGCAAATATTTGTACTACTTTTTATGAGAATAAGAGCTGATCCGGACCACAGTTTAATAGTGACGACATTTTTGGACTCCAGGTAGCAACGATACCTAACCTGTTATGGATTCTTGTGACAAAGTAAAATGTAGTATGCCTGCAGAATTTGAGCTTTTACCACATTATATAGGTACATTTTAAATATATAATAACAGATGAAATGTCTTTTGGGAGTCATAGTTTGAAATTTATTCATGCCGATCAACTGTGCACACATATGTTTCTTTGATTATCTACTCCTCTCTTCACCCTTTACTGCTTATGAGCTCGTTCGATTCAGACTTGGCGATTTAATACTGTGTAGGTACTTATCAAAATATTTGAAGTAGCCTGGTTCTTTGAAATTCTTTCATGCTGTTCGATAACAAGCCCAAAAGTGTATTTTAATTTATACAAATAATTCACATTTACATTTAAACAAACTATTTTTATCGTATTATTATGCAACTAAGCATTAATAAATGTACAGTTTATTAAACCTAGTATTACCAGAGGGCTTAGAGGCCCACCGAAGACAACTTTTTGTAGATTTTAATTGAAGAGGTTGTAGCTCAAAGGATGTTCAGATAAGTATAACTACAAGTTCAATAAGGAATTACATTCTTTTAGAAACCAGAAATCTTGGAGTTTCCTTGACATAAAAATGTAATAGGTGTTGTCATTAAATAGAAATATTAATTCGATTAAGTCGATATTTTTGTCATTTGCAGAGGCAGAGATTGAATAACTTTTCTTCTTTAAATGAACTGGTATTACTAAATAAATGCACTTGTACTATATTATTAGTTTTATCAATTTAAAAAATTTATCAAAATTATCAAAAGTACCAATAATAACAAAGTTTAGGCGGCAGGCTCCGAAGCCCCCACCTTCATTTTTCCGTTAGTAATGCACGGGATCTTTTATACCTGGATGTTGTTAGTGGTAATAGGCAATGTTTTCGCAAACATCATTTAAATTATTTTCAGTTCTTCAATTACGGAACAAACGGTATGCAGTTTAAATAAATAACTTTTCTTTATCTTTCTTTGGTGAAATTGTTCTGATATCAAAACAAGAAATTAATGTTGCGACAGCCATCAGCACTACTAGTAAGTTTACCGAGGATTGTGCAAAGTGTAAATACAATTTGTTTTCACCCCTCAAAAAGAGCCAATTTTTGACTTATTATTTTCTCGTATATACATAGTACGATTATGCTGAGTAATGTATGTAGTGTAAAGATAGTTATGTAATTCTGCTGGAAAAAAGGGCAATATGTCGGCAGAAAAACCCTTATTGCCTGATCCTGGCAATGAAAAAGTGGATAAATACTATGTTAAATTTAAAAAAATTCTCTTATATGTAGTGTAGTCAGAATCCATGTTTTGTGGTTCCTTGATACCTAAAAATCAATTGACTGCAAAACGTCCGTCCGTCCGTCCGTCCGTCCGTCCGTCCGTCCGTCCGTCCGTCTGTCTGTCTGTGAACAAGGCTAGCCACTAAACCGTTCAACTGATTTTATCCAACATTGACATTCTCCTATCGATATGGTTAATGTCACGTCCTATTCAATTTCAAGCCGAAATTTTAATTTTGGTGGGTATACTTTATATATATTCCTAGGACGTTTTCAAAATGTTCAAAAAAATCGCTCCAACGTGTTTGATTAAACTTTCTTATTGGATAGTGTAAAGAGCGTTTAAGAGAGTAGTACAGGTCTCATGATCGTTGTAAACTCTGATTTTATGAAAAGTGCAAAAGTTCAAAATTTGTTCGGCGTCTTCCTACAACTAAAATATTTAAGATAGAGATTTTTCTCTAAATAAATCTTTTCCTTCAAACTAGATCTTGAAATAGTAATGTCCAAATTTTTAAAAATTTGAATATTTTTTGCGTGAAATGTAGGAAATTCTCAACTCTGGTTAAACAATTTTTTCTTATAATCGACACCAACAATTGTGATTAAATTTTGACTTCGGATAGCAAATGAAATGCTTAAGAGAGTTAAGCGATACGAAAGAGCGGTACGGTATGGCGTAGCTTAAGCGGTAGCGAGAAAGTAAAATGTACGCACCTGGAATGAAATGCGTTTTTTTTAGACTAGGAGTCTCCTACCAAACTCGCTCAAAAAACTGCACATTTCGACCTAATTACATCGTTCTGTATTGGCTCAGATAATCATTATCTACATTTCAGTATCATCCACATACTTATCATTAATTTTAAAATAATCGGTACATTTTTGTTGAAACAAAATTCCTTTGAATTGAAAACTTGATAATTCTAACAGATTTTGGTATGGCCTTATTTGTAAGTAACAAAATGTTAATTCTATATTTCTAATACAGATGAGCTTTCCAGCTAAGAATCATGCAACATGATAAAAGGGCAATATATAATAAACGAGAATTTTAAATAAAAATGGGGACATATTCAAATCAATTGTGAAATCTTAAAAATCAGCCAAAAACACAATTCCATATCTTTAAACAGTTCTTCCCACTTCTACAATGTTAGTGTTTCAACCTTCAGCTATCCACTAGTAAATACGAGTAATTAGCGTTCAAAAAACATTAAGTTCAAACACTTAAGAATTAAATACAAAAAAATGATCTCAACAAATCTTTCGATTGTATTGCATATCACCAAAATAAAGATCATTTTAAAATATTGTAAAATTAATATTAACTATTTCGCAAAAATTTGAACTTGATCTCATACTTGCGTTGATCTCTAATCTTTCGCACTGCATGCATTGTAGGCCACCCGAGAAAGTACGTTGTTCGTGGACCACTCACCTGGCAGTAGGTACCTCCAGGTGTGAAAATGATGTTGCGTTTCGTCCTGCCGTCAGATGCATCGCCGGAACAAAGCGCTGAAAGGGAAAGCAGAAGGACCAGCGTTCGTTGCTGTGGAAACATCTTGCCTACAGACGAATAGCTTCCAAGGCCTCCATCTTCTACCAAACCTTTGGCGGGTGCTAGCCTCAGGCTGTTTGCACCTCTGTGACAAGTGGACCCGCGTCACGATGAAGGAACTCGTAGTAGGAAAAGCGGCGCTATTTCCTTCTTTCATTGTGTGCCTTCGTTATAGCAGAAATACCGTGTATAAAATGGGCCTTCACTTTTCTCGTCAACGACCTCATGGCTGATTGGTTGTTAGTTCTCATTAGGGAGAATCCTGTTCGGTAAATGCTTCAAAAATGTTTCCTTGTTACCGTCCACAAACTTATTATATTTCTCTTGGGCTCTCTACACTCAATATTTTTAGTTTAACAACTGCCTATTTTCCAATAATGTATTCTAGTTTTAAGAATGTCATATAGTATCTACTTGCATCTGAATTTTATTAAATTCCTCCTAATTCTCTTTTTGCCACAATACGTTCATAATCCAACATTATTCTCATGAGAGTATTCCGGATTTCTAAATACTGTGTCAGCTTCTGAAAATAAAAGCACGATTTCAGTAACAATGTACTAAGATATGTTATTAGTTTCCAGTGACCTGCAGCTATAAAAATGCTTCTGTCATGTGTGTGGAAAATTTGGACTTGGAGTAGCAAAAATTTATTTTGAAACTGCACACGTGAATACTAAATCTTTTTCCTCCCGGTATGACGTCAGGTGTCGAAGTAGTGACGATATGAGTATGAAAATGCAGTCATCACATCAGATAAGAGTAATTGCGAACTGACATAGTCAAACATTTGCATTTTGAGTCAAAATCGGTCTTGTTTCATTGGTTTTGAATTTTTTCCCGAGTCCCTGGGTTTCAAATGAAACCATAGACACATCACGCAAGGCTAGAGGCTGTTTAATTTTCCGTCAATTTACGCGTATATTCGAAATTAATTTAAGCAATTACTGTGTCTAACTTACTGTGCGGATCGGAGAATGCGAGAATACGTTCTGCGGATCGGAGAATGCTCTTACCGGCTACGCCGGAGGGTAAATGGCGGGTGGGAAATAAAATACGACCCATTGACAGAACCAGAGCATCACCGAGTTGATTGAAATATGGTTTTCAATACAAATTTTCTCATAAAGTGTTCCACCTTCACAGAGAATTTCAGACGTAATGGGGAGTATGTTTTACTCGATAACCCAATACTGCGTTTTGTTCCTCGTATATCTCGGAAACAATTCGTCTGTTTCGAGTCTAGTTTGCACCATCTAATTTCTCGTAAAGTGTTTTACCTATACACAGAAATTTACAAAGGATCGCCCAAATTAATATTTCTCCAAATTTGTCACGTTATGGGGGGGGGTACTTAATCACTCGAAGCTCCACTTTGTTTCTCGTCTATCTCAAAAAATATATACGTCTGATTGGAGTTTTGTATGCACCTATGAATTTCTCTTAAAGTGTTCTATTTGTATACAGAATATTAGATGGCAGTGCCAAAATTAATATTTTTCGAAATTTGGCAAGTATTGGGGGTATTTTGTACTTGATCACTCGAGGCTCTACATTGTTTCTCGTCTATCTCGGAAACTATACGTCTGAATTGAGTTTGATATGCACCTATGAATTTCTTTTAATTGATTCTACTTGTACACAGAATATCCGATGGCAGTGCCAAAACTAATATTTTTTTTTGCCACGTAATCGGGGGGGGGGTATTTTCTACTTGATCACTCGAAGCTTCACTTTTTTCTCGTCTATCTCGAAAACTATTCGTCTGATGGGAGTTTGGTTTGCACCTTTGAATTCCTCTTAAAGTGTTCTACTTTGATATAGAATATCAGATGGCAGTGCCAAAATTAATATTTTTTGAAATTTGGCAACTACTGGGGGTATTTTATACTTGATCACTCGAGGCTCCGTTTTCTTTCTCGTCTATCTTCGGAACTATTCGTTTCAAAGTAAACACTAAGAGAAATTCAAAGGTGGGCAAACCAAACTCCAAT